TTCAATAAATTTTCATTCAGTCGACAACAAACGAAGTTTTCGGTTACGCAATAAAACGCAGATTTTGATTTTATTTGATTCTATTGTTAAAGAAAAAGATTTGATCAACAATGATTTTTTTGTTACTTTCAACAAGACAAACGCATTAAATTTATATGTATATTTAAGAACGTATGCGTATTTTTTTAACTTTTGTTTTTAAATATAATAAAGCCTATAAAGCGGGTCGAAACAAACTTTAAAGTCAACAATGTAATACGGGCCTGCAAGTGTGAACGATTACGCATACAAAGAGCTTCCCTCCACCCCCGCATTCGCTCCACCCCCGCCATGGTACATCAACTCTGAAACTTTAATGTTATAAATACACATTTTAAAAATGATAATATTTATGTAAATAAAGTTGGCAGAATGATAAAAATAATGGCGCTACAAACAATTATCAATTATCACTTCCGTCACACTGGGGAGAATTTTTTAAAACATTCCGATGTTATTTTGTGGTTTATTTTGATTTGAATTAACAGTAATATAACAATGATGTCTCAATGTTTGGATTTCATCAATAAAAAGAGTTACTTTGACACTTTCCAATCCGTTTTATCTCTGTACTAGATGTAGCCCGCGAATCCGTCCGCGCGGAATTAAGAAAATTCTTAATAATGTGTTCTGTGCTTATGTGTTCTTCAAGGCTATGTTCTACATGTGTGCCAAATTTCATCAAAATCCTTTTAGCCTTTCCGGGCATACTTTCAACAAACATCAACCTATCCATCCATCCATCTATCCAAACATTCGCATTTATAATATTTTAGTAAGGAGTAAGAAGTATACGGGTAATTTTTTTCCTAAACTTTAAAAGCTGTACACTAAAACCTTTTCAACAAAAAGCATTTTGTTCAATGATTTATTAGGTTGTGTGTACATGTTTTTTTAAATGAAATATGAGTTTTATAACGATGTTTGCATGTGAATAATCATTTTACTATGGAAATAAACAAGGATGTTTATCGCATTTTTTGTAAAACAATAAAACGCTTTCAACAAGTTGGCGTGTACTATTTACTATTTTAATCAAATGAAATATGATCGTGTATCGAATTAAAGAGCTATTTTGGCATCAGTTATCTATTACCGATCTGGGATACAACTTTGCAATATAAAAGATACAAGGTTACTAGACCATGATAATTGAAAAGTAGAAAGCTGGTGAAAACTTTGTTTGATGGCTTTGTTTTAAACAATAGTATTGTGATTTCTACCACAGTAAATAAATATTCTATCAACCTGTATTTGTTGTGCTAAAAAAAGGAAGTTAATGACTTCATTTCTTAGTCAATTGAGTGTCACATCGTGACATCAATCTTCCTTTTGAAAGTAGGAATTCTGTACTAAGCAAAAACGTATTAACGTTAATATGTTACTGGCTAAAAATAGGAATAATTATAGAAAAATCTGAATTGGACTTTAATGTTGCCTAGAGTAGGCCGAAATATATTTGTTTTCTTTTTTAGGAATTAATTGAATATAATTATTTAATAGTGGTTTAAATAATTATTAAGTAGATGATGGTGGTTAAAGAAAGTCTTTCGAATTTTTCTAATTTATTTTATACAGTATACAATAAATAAGAACTTTACAAAAGCTAACGAAAACGTTAGCTTAAAAAGTTAACCCCAACGTTAACTTAAGTACTTAGTTACGTGACAAACTTTGTTAATCTGATAAAATAAACATGGGTTTTTCCACACTTTGTAGGCCCTGGTTATATATTGTTACGCCTTAAGTAAGTTTAATTTATTTCTGTCTGTCTGTTAGTTAAATATTAATTAGTTAAGTGGATGTTTGAAACAGCCTACACCGCTAATATTATATATGCGAATCTTAAGATGCAAGTATGGATGTATTGGTTTAGACGTAGAACATCGTCTGTAAAACACATAGGCTATTAATTAAGCTTTTTTAAAATTCCGTGTAGACGGAGTAGCGGGTAAAAGTAGATGAAAAGTATTAAAATCACGATTAATTAACGCAATAAATGAAAAGCGCAACAACAGCGAGTTACTGCGAGTTAATTGGATTGCACCGAAGCTACGGGGAGTGCGTTTGTGCCGATCTGTCGCGCTATCGATTTTCTGTCTGCGATATGACAATGCATTTCAGATGACTGGAATGAACATTATTTAAGAGTAGTTTTTGTGTTTTGGTGGTTTAATTCATCTATATTTATATATACAGGGGAGGCAGTTGTATTTATTTATTATTTAATGATAAGTGATAAAAGGAACACCCTAATTCTAATCGAAATGCGATAAAAGACAATAAATAGCCATCACGCTACTATAAGCCACGAATGAAAGCAGATGTTCATAATTATTATTAGTATTAATTTCCTATATACTTAAATTGAATTTACGTCTTTATCACTCATAAAATACGGTTGAATTTGGATTGATTGCATTAGGGCTGCAGTGCAGTTGTTGACGCAATGCATCAGGGGTGCGCC